AAATGACCCCATCCGTGTAATATATTTTTAAACTTTTAGTTTAAAATTATAAAAACTAAACAGCCTACAGTATTTTTAGAGTCTTTATTTTACAGTTAAAATAAATGTTTATCAAATAAAATCTAATGTTACAGCTAATCATGAATCCCTTTAAATATTTCATGAACTACTGAACATATTTTTAATGAAATTATCAGAAAATAGTCATTGGACATACCTCTGCAAATGATAAAATTTTAGATATTAGATTCAATATAATCTTCAATTCTTACAATGATAAGCTTACTGTACATGAAAAAAAAAACAGTTAATAATGGTCATTATGACCTTTAAAATTAATCTTGTGTTTGCATAATTCAACCAACTATGGTCCAGGTAAACTCTTGTTATTTGGGCTAAGAACCTTTCAATTTTAGACATACAATCTTATGAAAATATTTCTTCCTTTTTTCATCGATACAGTTAGGTCCATATCTATTTGGACAGAGACATTTTCCTAATCTTGATTCTGTACATTACCTTTGAACACAACATTTAAGATGAAGCTCAGACTCTCAGCTTTAATTCAGTGGGTAAAACTAAACAGACATATGAGGAACTAAAGCATGTTTTAAACACAATCCCCTCATTTCAAGGGCTCAAATGTGATTGGACAATTGGCTGTTGTGATTGTCTCCACCATGGAAATTATTCTGCCATCCTCCACCACTGTTGTCTTCAGTTGGCTTCCAGGTCTTTTTGCACTGATGAGTTCACCAGTGCTTTCTTTCTTTTGTTCTCAGGATGAACCAAACTATAGYTTTTGCGACTTTCTTGAAAGGTTTGTTCTGTTTTTCGCAGTTTCGGGATGGTTTGTTTCACCTGCATGGAGAGCTTCTTTGACTTCATGTTTTCTTCACAACAAAATCTTCAAAATGCAAGCGCCACACCTCAAATCAACTCCAGGCCTTTTATCTGGTCATTGAGAATGACATAACGAAGGGATTACCCACACCTGCCCATTGAARAGCCTTTGAGMCAACTGTCRGATTACTTTTGGTCCCTTTAAAAACAGGGTGGGCACATCCTAAACCCTTRATCCAATCTTAATGTGGATCTCCTCAAATGAAAGCTGAAAGTCTGGACTTTATGAACATGTCCATTATATAACTATAACTTGGATATATGGATACAGTGGGTGAAATAAGTATTGAACACGTCACCATTTTTCTCAGTAAATATAT